AAGCAGGTCTGATGACACCTTGATTTTAGGACTTCCGACTTCCAGAACTGTAAGGCAATAAGTGAATGTTGTGGCATGTCATTTTCAATTGTGTGACAATGTATTGGCCGGCAACGAAATTATTAATAGTTTTTGAACAGGGAACCTGCAAATGATGTTGCTAGTCCTCACTGCGGACCTCGTTTGTTAACGCTACTCTCCTCATTTCAAAGCAACAATGGGGGATTTGGAAGAGCAAAGAATGTGTCTATCTTATTCACAGTGCTGTCTCGCCGATACTGGCAAAAGGAAGGTGCTCAAAAATATTTGAGGAAGGCAGGGAGTGACGGAGAAGCTCAATTTAGGCCCTGCAGCTACCCCTGGCTGAGAAACAGAAGGAAAGAATCACCTCGGTCCTCGTAAGCCGTTCTATTCATCAGCTAAGCCTTCCTTCCCGAGGCTACAGGAACATTCTTCCAAACTCCTCAAGCGTGTCAAACGGCAGGTGTCCCCTGTGTGGTCTGTGGGTCTCTCCCTTGGCTCTCCATATGCCACGTCAGCTGGGCTGAACAGCAATCCCCAAATGTAATAAGATAAGGCCGGGTGAGAGCCTTAACACTGAATTTCTCAGCTCTGCTCATTCAAGGCAGGCTTTCACTTTGTGTTAATTCTGGCCAATTTAGCTTGTCCTCCCATCTGAAAATCAGTCTACCAGGATGCAATTCTCATAGCCAGGGAGCTAAGGTCAGCTAAGCAAGTCTGCCAGCAGCAGGAAAATGCCATTTATAGTAAAGCCACCCAAAGTGGGGACCCAAATCTCAAACTAAATAATGAAGGGAAAAAATGTTTGATTGGGGCTGCATCTTGAAAAATGAGCGTAAAATTGATAAGAATAGGTTTATTTCCTTTCATGGCTTTCTTCTGTAGGTTTGCGGTTTGCAGCACCTCCTGGGGAACGGGTAGGGGATGGAAAGAGCCTGAGGAAGGCTCAGGGTTCCCATACCATTATGCTTCTTGGTCTAGGAGGGAGATGGTGACAGTGTTCAAGCTATGAGAATTAATCAAGCAGTACACTTAAAAATTTGTGCATTTTTCTTTTTTTTAATAGAGGCAGGGTCTTACTATATTGCCCAGGCTGGTCTCGAACTTCTGGGCTCAAGCGATCCTCTCACTTCTGCCTCCTAAAGTGCTGGAATTACAGGTGCGAACCACTACACCCAGACAGGATTTGTGCATTTTTCTATATGTAATTTCTTCAATTAAAGACTTTAATGTAATGGTTCCAAATTTCAGGAACATTGAATGACTCGTTAGCGGGGTACTAGGCCTACTAAATATAAAGTAATACTTTACTGTACACTTCAGTGTATGGAGTTGCAGTCTCCTAACTAGAGGAATAGAAGACAATTACTTCTCTGCTTGGGTTGGTTTGCCCCTGGTAAGGAGGTTTCTCTTGGCACCAGGAAGTTTTCATGATTCTCTATAAAGAACAGATTTGGCATGTTTTGGTTGCTGCTTCTCTCATTGTATGTCTCATGATTCCCAAGTAGCAGGGACTACAGGTGGGAAATCAGCCACCATGCCCAGTTAATTTTTGTATTTATTTTATTTTATTTTTATTTTTTCTTTTTAAGGCGGGGTTTCACCATGTTGGTCAGGCTGGTCTTGAACTCCCAACCTCAGGTGATCCGCCCGCCTTGGCTTCCAAAGTGCTTGGATTATAGGCGCGAGCCACCATGCCCTGCCTAATTTTTGTATTTTTAATAGAAATGGGGTTTCACCATGTTGGCCAGGCTGGTCTCAAACTCCTGACCTTGTGATCTCCCCACCTCGGCCTCGCAAAGTGCTGGGAATTACAGGCATAAGCCACCACGCCTGGCCTGGGAAAAGTAAGTTTCTTACTTGCTCACCTCAGTCCTCCCCCAATGGCTCTCATCAGTATCCTCATCCCAGTACATAACACAAACATCCACCCAGTCCATGCAGCTGCTCAAGCCAAACCCAGAGGCATCTTGACTTCCCCATCTCCCTGTCTGCCTTCTCTGATCCTTCAAAGATGTCCACCTCCAAGTCATAGCACTAATCCGTCTACTTCTCTCCTCTCCACCACCCATTCTAGTCCTAGTGTGGCTGGTTGAATAACAGCCCTCAAAGATGTCAAGCCTGAATCCCTGGAGCCTGTAAATATGTTACTTTCATGGTAAAAGGGACTTTGCAGGTGTGATTTTAAAAGTCTGATCCTTTGAGCTGGAGCTGCAAGATTTTAAAAAAATCCTGAGATGGAGAGCATAGCTTGGATTATCCAAATGGGTCCCTGTAATCACAAGAGCCCTTAGAATAAGGAGACAGGATGGCACGGTGGCTCACTCCTGTAATCCCAGCACTTTGGGAGGCCAAGGTGGGTGGATCACCTGAGGTTGGGAGTTTGAGACCAGCCTGGCCAATATGGCAGAACCCTGTCTCTATTAAAAATACCAGAATTAGTTAGGCATGTTGACATGCGCCTGTAGTCCCAGCTACTCAGGAGGCTGAGGCAGGAGAATCACTTGAACCTGGGAGGCAGAAGTAGCAGTGAACTGAAATTTCACCACTGCATGCCAGCCTAGGTGACAGAGCAAGACTCCATCTCAACAAAAAAGGAAGAGGGAGACACAGGAGATCAGAGTCAGAGTTTGTGAGGGAGAGTTGGGCTGAGGGCGTCACAAGGGAGTTAGGAGTTAAATTGCTATACCATTGGCTTTGATGATGGAGGAAGAGTCAAGAGCCAACGAATACAGGCGCCCTCTAGAAGCTAGAAAAGGCCAGAAACAAATCCTCCCCCAGAGCCTCCAGAAAAAAAGCAACCCTCATCACACCTTGATTTTAGGACTTCGGACTTCAGCACTGTAAGAGAGTAAACCACTATCAAGCCACTTCATTTGTGGTAACTTGCTAACAGCAGCAATAGGAAACTGACATACCTTGGTGCCATTACTTTTCACCTGCACCTAACTGATCCCTTGCCTTTGTCCTTGTCCCATATTCTCCCTTTTTCACAGAGGGGCTGGAGGAATCTTGGTAATATAGAAACAGGGTCCCAGCACATCCTCATTCTTAAAACCTCCTGTGTGTTTCCATGACCCTTAGAATAATATCCAGCCTCCTCACCATGGCCCATGATGCTTTGCACGATCTGGCCCTGGCCTTCCTCTCCTTTCCATTCATTCTGCTCTGACCTTAACTGCTTCTCTGTGTCTTCCAACTCGAGATGCTCTTTCCACCTTCAGAGCCCTTGCACTCGCTCTTCCCCTTGCCTGGCATGCTCTTCCCAGCCCATCTCGTGGCTCTAGCTTCTTGACTGAAATGGCCCCTTGCCAGGGGTCTTCTCTGGCTACCACCCCAGCCCGCAGCCATTATTCCTTCTTACAAATCACAATATGTGATTGAAGAACTGTTATCTGTCCTCCTTCTCTTCTACTAGGCTGTAAGGTTGTGCGGACAGATGCCTGGTCTGTCTTGTTTGTGGCTATGTCCCTCTGTGTAGGGCTTCAGTACCTGCCCATTTGTAATGCCCATTAACTATTTCTTGATAGAGCCGTGGGTTTCCTTGGCATGACCTAAATGACTTCCCCATGCTCTCTACTTATTATAAGCACTCAGGCTCTAGTTCTGATGAACAGAAGCAAACAAATGGGAAACTTGGGCCTTGGCGCAAGGTCAGGGTTGCCAAGCCTACAGACATGGGCACATGTTTCTCTACAGAGCAATGGGCATGAGGATAAAATATAGAGCAGCTGTTGATTAATTAAATAGTCCTAAGACCCTTCCTATAAATCTCTTTTAATTAGTTGCCGTAAAGAGCATATATAACTTTCAGGAGAGCAAAAATAAAGGCAAACATTTGGAGGCAAAATGCTACTTGCCTTCCTTTCGTTGAAAACAATGAAGGGAAATGTATATGTGGGTGCATGGAGTGAATGAGAATAGGGTTCCATCCATTAAGCAGTCTTGTCCATTAGCAAACTAGTATAACAAATATGTAATCTTGGCCCAACTGATTTTTTCTTTTTGAGACTGAATCTTGCTCTGTCACCCAGGCTGCTGTATAGTGTCATGATCTCAGCTCATTGCAACCTCTGCCTCCTGGCTTCATGTGATTCTCCTGCCTCAGTCTCCTGAGTAGCTGGGATTACAGGCACCTGCCACCACGCCCCACTATTTATTTCTTTTTTGAGTCGAAGTCTTGCTCTGTCTCCTAGGCTGGAGTGCAGTGGCTCAATCTTGGCTCACTGCAACCTCCATCTCCCAGGTTTAAGCAATTCTCCTGCCTCAGCCTCCTGAGTAGCTGGGACTACAGGTGCATACCACCATGCCCAGCTAATTTTTGTATTTTTAGTAGAGACGGGGTTTCATCTTGTTGACCAGGATGGTCTCGATCTCTTGACCTCATGATCCACCCACCTCGGCCTCCCAAAGTGCTGGAATTATAGACGTGAGCCACCGCGCCCGGCCAACTTTTGTATTTTTAGTAGAGACGAGGTTTCACCATGTTGGCCAGGCTGGTCTCAAACTCTTGACCTTTTGATTCACCCACCTCAGCCTCCCAAAGTTCTGGAATTACAGGCATGAGCCACCGTGCTCGGCTGTCAGCTAATTTTTGTATTTTTAATAGACACAGGGTTTCACCATGTTGGCTAGGCTGGTCTCAAACTCCTGACTTCAGGTGATCCACCCACCTTGGGATACTGCCTGTGTAATACACCAGGGTCACACAGAGGCTACCCCAAGATTTCACTCTGGAGTTCCACATCTAGAGAGAAGGAGGCATACCAAGTGTCTCAGAGTACATTTCTATTGTATCTGGAATACGATTCAGTGATTGTCAGGACATAGATTGCTTTCTATGCCCTGACAGGGTATGAACACATGAGACAATTACAAAGTTTTGCTTAGAGTCAGTACAGCACGATGCTTAGGGAATAGGCTCTTCAATCAGAGCATCTGGATTCAAATCCCAAATAACACATTAAGTGCTCAATAAATATTGGCTATTATTTTATTTAGAATAAAAACCAGACTATGATGGTCTACAAAGTTTTAAGATGTTCCCTACTTCTCAAACCATTTTTTGAGATGTTCAAAAATGTCTCAAACCATTTAAGATGTTCCCTGTCCCTCTCTCCCTAATTGTTCAAAACCCAACTTGCCTCTGTAGTTTCTTGAACAGAACATTCCAAATTTATTTGCCTTGGGGTCTTTACAGTTATTTTTCTCCCAGTATAGAATTGTTTCCTCAGATCTTTTGTAACTGGCTCTCTTACCTTTCAGGTTTGGAGTTTAATGTGGTCTCTGAAGAGGCCTCCCATAACTAACCTATTCAAAACAGATCCCTTTCCCCACCCTAACATGTCACAGTTTCATTTCTTTTATGGCACTTAACAGTAATTTACCTGATTTATCTCCCCCATTTAAATATAAACTCTTCTACAACAGGAAAACTCTTGCTCATTTTTATTCCAGAACCTAGAACAGTACACTGAAGGCACTTGATGTTTGTTATGAAAAGGAAAAAAAAAATTAAATTCAGGCTGGGCATGGTGGCTAACACCTATAATCCACTTTGGGAGGCTGAGGCAGGAGGGCTGCTTGAGCCCAGGAGATTGAGATGAGCCTGGGCAACATATTGAAACCTCATCGCTACAAAAATTTTTTATTTTTAAAATTTTTTAAAGAGATGGGTTTTCACCATGTTGGCCAGGCTAGTCTCAAAACTCTTGACCTCAGGTGATTCACCCACCTCAGCCTCCCAAAGTGGCAAAGTGCTGGGATTACAGGCATGAGCCACCATGCCTGGCCACAAAAAAAATGTTTAAAATTAAAAAATGGTTAGGCATGGTGGCCCACACTTATAATCTAAGCTACTTGGGAGGAGGAAGGATCACTTGAACCCAGGAGGTTGACGCTGCAGTGAGCTATGATCACAACACTCCACTCCACCCTGGGCTACGGAGCAAGACTGTCTAAAAAAAAAATCAGTTTAAATCTCATCTCACAATTAAAACTAAGTACAATCCCCAGAAGGAACAAAATTTCAAATACTAAAATATGCCAGGTGCAGTGGCTCATGCCTGTAATCCTAGCACTTTGGGAGGCTGAGGTTCGAGGATCGGCTGAGGTCAGGAGTTCAAGACCAGCCAGGCCAACATGTCTCCACCAAAAAATACAAAAATTAGCCGGGTATAGTGGCAGACACCTGTAATCTCAGCTACTTGGGAGACTGAGGCATGAGAATGGCTTTAACCTGGGAGGTGGAGGTTGAAGTGAGCCAAGATTGTGCCACTGCACTCTAGCCTGGGGGATAGAGTGAGACTCTGTCTCCAAAAGAAAAAAAAATACTGAAATAGATCTGGGTTGTGTACTGGGTATCTGTCATATTCTTAACAGCCCATCTTTTGAAAAATATTTCACTACTGGGGAAAATCCCCCATCATGAGTTCTGTCTTCCTAGTGTAGATATCAAAACACAAATTCCCGGCCTCTCTTGCCGCTAAGATATAAGCATGGAAATAGGCTCTGCCTACCCGACACCCTCATAAGATTTGACTCAGAAAACAATAAGGTAGTGACTCAGCTTTTCGACACGTGGACTGTGGCTGAGGTGTTGGGCTTTCTGGGAGAGCAGCGGGGGTCATGTCAAGTGAAATTGGTGAGACTGTAGTGGCAGTTTCCTCCTGTACTTGAAAGGGAATAGACACTGTTCTCATAAGGCCAGTTTTGTGCATATCTTGGGCACCATTCCTAGAAGTATAGCCTTGACTCTGTCCCCAAAATTCTCAAAAGCTCTTCCTACCACTGTAGTAAACCCTTTCCCACTTAGCCAGTCAGCTTCTCTTGCCTGCCCCCGGTGACAACCAGGTTTACAGGAACTACAACTTTCTGTAACTTTAGGACATCAGCCTTTAGAATATAAAATCATTCTTGTGTCTCACTACTTGTCTCCTGACATTTATCAGAATCAGTTGTCCCTGGAAGGAGGAGTCGAAAAACACAGGACATGTTTGTTCTCCACTCCAGGTCTCAGTCATTTACTTCCATAACTCCTTGATACAAACAGTTATAAGAGACCTGCTGTACTTTTATAAGAGAAGGGATTACTATACTTTAAGTATACCTGTTCAAATAATTAGTTACAATATTTCATAGTTAAAACGTGATGACTAATTTTGAATTTGATTGTTAAACACCACCCTCTTATAATAAAACAAGATTCTATATCACAGATTGCAAATTGGTGAGGAAATCTGGTCTGCAGAGGGTTTTTTCTGGCCTATAATGCTTTTAAGCTTTTTTTTCTAATTGTTGACAGAGATACAGAGACTTTGCAGTTATATCTGTGATTTCTGCTATTCTTAAACAACAACAATGGATGATTATGAGCCTGCATGCAGCAACCAGTGAGGGAACAGGCTCCCTTTTCACAGGCCATTAGTTCAACCGGCCACTGACAGGCTCTCACAAATCAAATTTTTACTTTAAATTTTGTTGTCTATATTGGAAGTTGGGGAGACTACCTACCATTTTATGAAAATGTTAAGTAAACAAACATAAAAACACATTTTACATTCATATAAAATGCTGGAATAAAAAAGATTAAATCAAAATAGAAAAGGCAAGTTAAAAGGGAAGAAGCAAAAGGTTGGGACTTGGACTTTAAGATTCCAAAGCAAGTCAAACCAATTTAGAAAATGTTCTATGTATGTGCAACATAAGGTGGATTCTGAAGCTAACTTTTATAAAACAGTAGCAATTTGTAACAGGCACTGACAGACTACAAAGGTGGCTTCCTCTATTTTGGCAAACTTTAAAGATCTCATTTTGATACTAATTCAAAATGCCAAATAGAATGACCCCCGTTTCTGAATAATTAAAACAATTTACATTTTAAACATGTATTCTATCATCTGAAATATTAAGAAGATCAATAATTTTTTTTTTTTTCTTTTTTAATATAAAGAAGGGGTGTCACCATGTTGGCCAGGCTGGTCTCGAACTCCTGACCTCAAGTGATCTGCCCATCTTGGTCTCCCAAAGTGCTGGGATTGCAGGCGTGAAGCCACCACACCCGGCCTAGATCCAAGAATTTCTTAACTAAACAGTAAACTGACCCTAAGTGTACACTCTGTGATCAATTTGAGAAGACTAAGTTTACTGCACCTTAATTCCAGGTATAAAATGATTTAGAAAGCATTTAGACTGGGGGAAGTAGAAAATAAGGACAGGTCAATGATCTGGAGTTTAAAATACAAAATCCTGTCACGTTATATCTCACATGTTCAAGACATCCTCCATGTGCTGGAAAAAAAATGATGGTTCTCAGAAACAGTATAATTCATTAATATGTCATCCAATCCATAACTAATTTTTAAATTCCTTATAAAAAAGGAGTCCATGTATTCACTGATACTATACAATCTCCTGTATATACATCTCCTGCATATTCACATCTTTCCCATCAAACTATACCAGTCACCTTAGTACTGTGGAAATGTTCCATCAATTTTAGCAGCCCAGGCCATGAGGCCCCCTACAACATCCCGGACTGTTAAAGAGTCTAACTCTTGAGCTGCTGATAAGGACTGGAGGATCTTCACGGCTTTCTGTGAGTCATTTCCCAGTTTGCAAATCACATAAATGGGGAGAGCAGCCCCTTCTTGTGTACGCTGCTTCCCTTCCCGGATTGCTTCTCCTAAGAGTTTCAGGCTCTCTGCATCCCTGCGTTCCAAATGTTTCAGAGGGATGTGTAGGGCATGAGGCAAACGACAGATGTCTACCTCGACCTGAGGCCTGACATCCAGCAACAGATGGGATGCTCCAGAATCCAGAAGTCGCTTATAGTCAGTGACGGAAACACGCTCCTCTGGGCTCAGTAACTGCAGGGAGAGGCATTTATCGGTGGCTGAGGAGCCACAAAAGGCTTCATAGTCCATCAGATCAGTCACAGTGGGCCGTTCCCCGCAAGCTGCACAGTCAAGCCTGCGACTCCGCAGCCGAATACAGCGGAAATGCCCTCTCAGGGCATCAAAGAGCAACAGGCTGCCACTGTAAGAAGGGCCCAGACCCGCAGCGATTTTCAGCACTTCCAAGGCCTGCAGGCAACCCAGGACCCCAGTTACCACACCGAGCACCCCGCCGTCCGCGCAGTTGGTCACTGTCTCCGCTGGGGGTGGCTGGGGGAATATGCAGCGATAGCAAGGCCCACCGTCATAATGGTAGACTGTGATTTGGCCCTCGAAGCGCAAGGCACTGGCAGACACGAGAGGCCGACCCGCCAGCACACAGGCGTCATTAACCAGATAGCGAGTGGGCACGTTGTCCGAGCAGTCGGCCACCACATCATATCGGCGGACCAGGTCTAGGGCAGTGGCTGGCGTAAGGGCCTGAGTGTACGGCACGCATTCCACCTCCGAATTGAGGCGGCGCAGCGAGGCGGCAGCCGAAAAGGCCTTGGCCTGGCCAGTCAGTGACTCGCCATGCAGCACTTGGCGGGGCAGGTTGCTCATCTCTACCACGTCATAGTCCACAAGGCCAAGGCGGCCCACGCCGGCCGCTGCCAAGTACTGCGCCAGTGGACAGCCGAGCCCACCGCAGCCCACGACTAGCACGGAAGCAGTCGCCAGGCGCAGCTGTCCGTGCACGCCCAGCTCCGGCAGCACTAGCTGCCGGCTATAGCGCAGAATCTCATCTCGGGACAGAGCAGCCTTCGGCGGCAGCGGCGACACCGGAACCAGCCGTTCCGGCTGCGGTTTCTGCTCCGCCAAAAGGGCCGCCGCCAGCCTCTGCTTCAGGGAATACAATTCCTCCTCACGTCGGGCAACTTCAGCCTGTAAGGCAACTGTCTCCTCACGGGAAGCCATGACGACCTCTTTCGGAAGTTGTCGTGAAAGGCATTTCCGCTTCCGCTTCCAGCTTCTGTCTCCTAGCGACTGGGATAAACTAAAAAACTTTATGGAGCTTGGGAAAAGGTGATTAATAGATATATACTTCCTAAATAAACCATAAAATTAAACTTTAAAGATGCATAAATCCTGAATATTTCTAATTGAACCACACAACGGTTCTAGAAGAACGAGCACTCACACAGATCATCCCCCTCTCTCAAATTTGGTAGGGTCCGACCTGTCCTTTTTTTTTCCGCGCCTCATTTACGCCATTCCGCTTCCGGCATCTGGCTCACTTCCGCCATGGCCTCCTTGGAAGTGAGTGGTAGTCCTCCCAGGTCTCGGCGGGAGCTGGAGGTGCGCAGTACACTACAGGACAAATATTCGGTGCTTTTACCCACCTACAACGAGCGCGAGAACCTGCCACTTATCGTGTGGTTGCTGGTGAAATCCTTCTCCGAGAGGTAGCGCACCAGGTCTCCCTCCGCGAGGAATGAGATGAGCTGGCATCCCCGGCCCGGGTGTCAGCAGCTGGCTGCGCAAGTCGGCCCTGTCAGCCTTCTTTGGCTCACGCGGGAAGGCTCGGGAAGAGGGTCACCCTGCGAGGGAAGCAGAGGCAGATGCATGTTGGGTTTTCCTCGTGTCCTGGGTTCTTATTCCTGTCCTTGGGCTTTGTGAGACACTCATTTATCTTTGTTATGAACTACTCCCGTGCCCCGTTTTTTCGTAGATGGGTTGGCCACTCTTTTACTTGGAAGCAAGCCTGAGAGCGTGACCCCAGTCCTCCCTCTAGGTGGTCAGGATCTGCGGCAAGAGCGGAGAGAGTCCAAGCGAGAGCGCTCACCCTCCATTCCGATGCCGAGTGCTTATATAAGCATGAGGTTTGGTCTCTGTGGGTTAGGAAGCTGTTGCTGGCCACGATAACCTTTCTGGAAAGGAGAGAGCAGAAGACCATCTTCCCTGATCATTCGTGGATGTTTGGTGTGATTGTTAGAAGCGGGATGGAGGGGGTGGAGTTCGAATTTGGAAGTGTTATATACAGTGTTTATTTAAAACTACAGAAAATCCTGGAGTCATTATGAAGTAACGTGTTCTACGATGGCACATATGGGATCATGATGTGAAATCTTTGGAGACTTTTTTTTCATATTAACGTATATAGTAAATTTGGAAGTTAGGTAATGTCTCTGTTATTTAATCAGGTTATGGCAATGAATGGATTATTTCCATTTCCAGAGGTTTTTGGTTGTTTTTTTTTTTTTTTTTTTTTTTGGCTTTTGCTTTGCAAATGAGAACAAGGACTTTCTTCACATCATATTTTCCAGCTAAATTTAGAAAAGTGCTTGACATATAATGGTGCTCCTTTATTGTGTCAATTTTGGCAGCAGACACACTCGTACTTGTGTACTGGGGATAAATTCTTCAAGGGAGGATTTCTGCGTCGACAGAGAGGTGCTTAAAATGGACAGTTATTGCCAAATTGCTCTAAAGAAAAAAATTATACCAGTTTAGGATTCTCTATTCTTCAGAGTGCCTGTTTTCCCATCAACCAGCCTGCTTGAGCATTATTAAATTTAACATTGTTGGAAGTGCTAATTTGTGAAAACCGTTGCTGTCTTGATTGTATTTCCTTGCTTCCTTCACATGCCTTGCCCCTCAAAGTTTTAAAATTTATATTTTTTCCATTTAATCTTTCTTTCTTTCTTTCTTTTTTGAGACGGAGTTTCGCTCTTGTTACCCAGGCTGGAGTGCAATGGCGCGATCTCGGTCACCGCAGCCTCCGCCTCCTGGGTCCAGGCAATTCTCCTGCCTCAGCCTCCCGAGAAGCTGAGACTACAGGCGTGCACCACCATGCCCAGCTAATTTTTTGTATTTTTAGTAGAGATGGGGTTTCACCATGTTGACCAGGATGGTCTCGATCTCTTGACCTCGTGATTCACCCGCCTCGGCCTCCCATTTAATCTTAATTTTGATTTCTATAAGCTCTAAATTAATTAACCATCATTCAACCGATCTCGTTCAGGGCTTGTATTCTAATTTTGCAAAGTTTTTTGCTGTTTTAATTTTTTTACGTTATACAATTTATCTTTCCTATTAATGCTTTGTGAAAATCTTTTAAGACCAAAATGAGGTTTAATAAAGGAAACAAAACTATTTGCTTTTCAGATGCAATCAAATTACCTAAAGTCAGCCCAGCTTGATTCCTTTAAGCTTCCTCTCCCGTAAATGGAGTAGCTAGCTGCTTTGAAGTGGTAGGGGACAGTAATTTGCTTTTAACGACCCCATTTTGTTTATGGAATTTTTCTTTCAGCACATCTACTAAAATCACCATACATGTTTTGGCATGTAAAGGTACCAGTGCCCAAATTTAAGGCACAGTGGGAAGCCAGAGTCATTGTATCTACTCTTGGAGAACAGATACACAGGGTTTTGCTTTCTTGTCTTCAGAGTTGCTGGGGCTGACTCGTTAAAGCCTTTAACAGTGGAATATGTTTTCTGCTTGATTTTCTGGCATATGTTTCTTAGAGCGGGACCAAGAGAAAACAGAATGTTATGTTGTAGGTATAAAATTAATAACAAGAATGCCTTTAAAAGCGAGGGAGTGGGGGTGGCCACATGTACACCGATGCAGTATTTATCCACCAAGTATTGTGTTGCCTTGTTTTTAGATTAGAATCTACCACCTGAAGTTAATGGGAAGTAACATGTTAATTCTGAAGCACAGTGGAATCTTTTGTGATGCTACTCTACTTTTGTTTTTTTAAGCTGATAATGTGAGGTTATAGGCACAACTATTTGAAATCGTTTAAGATTGTGTCACCATTCTAAAATGGGTTTTTTAAAAGGTGAAATTAGATTTATACTCTATTACTCGATTTGGATTAAATTAGAAGAATAATCACTCAGAATTACTCAGTTTGGTTTGAGTTACCATGTAAAGTGCTTTTGAAGTACTCTATGTAACTAAGATTTGGTATTAAGGTTCACAATTTTATTTCCAAAGTAGGTAATAAAATTTCATATGATACATGTCATTACATGATTTTCTTTTGAACTAAAAAGTATGTTCTCTGTGTAAGAAGGACATTAGCATGTTTCAGCAACATACTGGGTTTGGAGGTAAAGTACTAAATATTTGACATTTATTTCATTTGATAATTGAAGTTTTCCTTAATGATTAGTATAGCAATAAATCTCCACTTATATTTTTAAGGAATCAGTACTTTTAAAATTACTTTTAAATTTGAGAACATTGTCATCAATCATTAATACAAATTTAATTTTTTTTTAGTGGAATCAACTATGAAATTATAATCATAGATGATGGAAGCCCAGATGGAACAAGGGATGTTGCTGAACAGTTGGAGAAGATCTATGGGTCAGACAGAATTGTAAGTTATAAGAACATTTTTCTATCATGAATTGTGATTACGAAGGGGAAAGATGAGAAAGAAACAATGCTTAAATTCAGTCTGTTTAGAAACTGAAAACATAAAGAGGAACTTAACACATTTGAGATTTAAATGTATTTTCATTGTCCTTAAAATTATACTTATCTTTGGTATGTTGGGTCAATGGTCATTTTACAGCAGAGAGTGAGCTTTTGGATGAACTCTGTTTATGACTAATTCTGCAGATCAGTTTTCTTGAAGGGCAAAAATTAAAGACTGATACTGGATTTACAAGGAATATTACAGAATTTGGTTGTAATTGGTAGTGTGTCTGTCTTAATCGTTCTTGCTCCCTTTTGGTAAGTATTCTCATACTTTCAGTAGAGAATACTGCCCGAATTTAAGAGCATGTAAATAGAAAAAGTTACTGTTTTCTTGTGAAACATTAATGACTTCTCAGAGTACTTGGTATTTTTAGTCTATAGAGTAGTCTTGTGGAAATAGATTGACTTTCTTAGTCCTAAACTTTAGATTTTCCCATTGTACCTTGAAATTTGTTAATGTACTATAGAAGTAACTTAAGCAAATATAGAGTTTATTTTATAATGGCTTCATAAGTTTTATTTTTGGTCACTGGTTTGGAATTATAAATGTTTATACTTGTAAGCACTTTTATAATTTATGTTCATAAAATATTGCAGACGAGTTTTTCAGTCTTGCACTATTGACGTGTGGACAGATTAATTCTTTACTATGCATTGTAGTATGTTCAGCACCATATCTGGACTGTCCTCACTAGATGCCGTTATAAACCCTCCTCCCCAGTTCACAACTGCAGATGTTTGGATATTGTCAGATACTTCCTTTGGGGGAAAAATTATCCTTTGCTCCCAGTAGAGAACTACTGGTATAGAGAAAGAAGTGTCTTTGAGAACATTTATTGTTATTTGCAATTCAAGAAATGGTAAATTAATCATCATTTAAAGAGAACAGTCACCCAGTCTAAACATTCTTGATAAGTCTTAGTAATAGAAATACTTTCCACAACTCATGTTTACTTATAGATGAATGTCAGTTGCATGAGATCTTGGTGGCAAGGATTTAAAGGAATTATATTGCTCATATACATGGTGAATCTATACTATAAATTCTTTCAGTCTGTCTCACAGATGTGTAACTCCTGTCTGTCACACCTCAGGTCTTCTCTGAAAATCTCCTAATGGGTAGGAATACAGAAGGAGGTAAAAAGTTAACAGATTTTCAGGCTTCTAGCAGAGACTTTCAGTAATGCTAGGTTTGAATTTTTGGCCAGTAGTTCCCCAGCTTTTCTTTTAGAAGCCCAGGGTGAAGGCCACTGATTTACAACACTCTGAGTTATGTGCTGCCATTTAATCTGGGACCATCAACCAGACAACATTTTGAATACTTTTGTCCTAAAACCTCAGCCTTAGGATGTGATTGATTGACTTTAGGGAATGGTTAATAAACTGACCTTTCAAATTTTGAAACAACATTGTCTTCGAAGACATTTTTCCTGTCAACCCAATAACATTCAAAATGAGAAAAAATTTGCATTCACTGTTAAGACTTCCCTCTGCTACCAGATAAAATTCCTTATTCATTCATTATTTTATGACATTTAAATAAGTTAAACTAGAAAATGACTTAAAAGACAGTATTTGAAATCCTAATCCTGAAGGCAATGGTATTTAAAAAAAAAAAAACAATATTACTCCCATGCTAGGGGTGACACTTGCTCTTAGTGATATATGTATGTTTAGTTGGGAAGATGAGGGATTATTGAAACCATGTTAGAATACCTCGGATAAAGTATTCAGCACAGATGCTCTGTCAGCCTTTCAAACTTGCTGAAATGATTCTTTCAGTAAAGAAGCTAAAGAAGATATTTTTTAAATTCTGTAGGTGGTGCAACTGAAGCAAGACGTTAGGTCATTTTCCAAGGTTACACAGCTAGGTAGGACCATAGAGAAATTGGGGCACTTACTCTGAACTATTCACAGAGATCTGAAACTGTGAAGGACCTCAACTGTTCTGTGTTGAATGCTTCTATTTATTTATTTTTTTAAACAGAGTTTCATCATATTAGTCAGGCTGGTCTCGAACTCCTGACATCAGATGATCTGCCTGCCTCAGCCTCCCAAAATGCTGGGATTACAGGTGTGAGCCACCGTGCCTGGCTTGAATGCTTCTATTATGTTTGGTTTATGTAGTTTGTTTCATCCCCCAACTTGAGATCAGATAATGGCATCTATATTTTGTCATTATTTTCTTACAGCTTTATTGATGTACAATTGACAAAGTTATATATATTTAAAGTATACATTGCAATGGTTTGATACACACATGCATTGTGAAATAAATACCACATTTGGGGAATGAGCGTGTCCATCACGTCACACAGTTACCCTTTAGTGCGAGTTGACAGTAGTGTGGACAGTTAAGATTTGCTGTCTGCATATTTCAAGTATATGATATGATACTAACTATAGTCACCATGCTGTATATTAGATTCTCAGAACTTTATCTTATATTTTGTCATTATTTTATAGTTCAGTATTTTAAAAACTTGTTCTGATAATAAAATGTAATATGTGTTTATTATTCTTAAAACATCAAAAAAAGGTAAAAAGTTGTGGGCTGGGCATGGTGGCTCGTGCCTATAATCCCAGCACTTTGGGAGGTCAAGGAGTGAGGAGTTCGAGACCAGCCTGGCCAATGGTGAAACCCCGTCTCTAAAAAAAGAATAAAACAAAAAAATAAAATAAAAAGGTTTGACTACTTAAAAATATTAAACTTCTGTGCTCACTTTGGCAGCACATATGCTAAAATTGGAGCAATACAGAGAAGATTAGCACGGCCCCTGCCAAGGATGACACGCAGACTCCTGAAGCGTTCCATATTTTTTTATAAAAATTATTTTTAAAAAAATTCAACTTCTGTCTATTCCCAAATGCCAAAATATTTCTAACAAGATCAGTACCCCAGCCAGATAATTGATAAGACCAGAACTAGAAATGGCCAGTAAACAAGAAAAAAATACTGAGCCTCGCTGATAAGTGAAGATTTACGAAATAGGGCAGTATATACTAGCCTTATTAGCTGAAGATTTAATTTTCTCCTATTTTTAAACCAGTGTTTCTGAGAGTTATTATAGACCAAGTCCACTCAAATGCTGTTGATCCTAGTATAAATCGATACTGTTTTTCTGAAGTATCATCTGGCAGCAATCTCATGACCCTCAAAAATACTTACACCTTTGTAATAAGTATAAAGCAGTTTATAAAACTGTATATATAGTATAATCTCAATTCTGTTTTTCAGTAACTTTTTGCAAGATTGTCTATAATAAATAGTTTTACCAAGGTTTTTATCAAACAAATTCTAGTTTCACATGAAGTATTTTATAAGCAGTTGTGGTAACTATACTTCAAAGAGTATGTGCCTGGCATTCTTGCAAGCACTTTATATGAATCTGTTTCCTTGTTCCTCATGAAAGCCATGTGAGATAGGGGGCTCTGTCATGCCTCTTTATATTCTCAAGGTCACATGGCAAATGAGTAGTGGCCAAAACCAGACGTTGTGGTTCCAGAGTTCATGTTCCTATCTGCAATGCTATCCTGCCTCACATAGAAAGGGGCCATCACATTGATGTGAAGAGGCAGAAAAGGATTGGGGAGGGTAGACAGGTGGAATTAAGAGTTTGAAAGTAAAGCATACCAAATAGAAACTGTGAATTGCCTACATAAGAAATAAACAAGCAAATTCTTGTAAAATATAAATATTACCAGTAAACCCAAAGTTGCCTTTGATGAACATTTTTTTTCTTTTTTTGTTGGAGTCTTGCTCTGTCGCCCAGGCTGGAGTGCAGTGGCGCAATCTCAGCTCACTGCAAACTCAGCCTCCTGGGTTCAAGCAGGCCTCCTGGGTTCAAGCAGTTCTCCTGCCTCAGCCTCCCGAGTAGCTGGGATTATAGACCTGCACCACTATGCTAGCTAATTTTAGTATTTTTAGTAGAGATGAGGTTTCATCATGTTGGTCAGGCTGGTCTTGAATTCCTGACTTCAGGTGATCTGCCCACCTCAGCTTCCCAAAGTGCTGGGATTATAGGCACGAGCCACTGTGCTTGGCCTGATGGACACTTTCTAATAGGCATCCCATTCCCTTGCCCAGGGGAGACCCAGGTCAACAGTTTGATGTGTTTTTTGTGCATATGTGTGTGTATATTTGTAGAACTAGGTAGCGTGGTGGTCTTCTTTTTTAAAACATAACTGTCATCTTCCTATGTCATCATTACTTCTATCTTGAAGATCTTTTGTCATCACCTTATTTCTCTTAATAGCGCCATAGTATTGTAATATTTTATATAAACCTTTGAACATTCTGAAAATTTTAAGTATTGTAGTCTCTCTTGTCTATGGTTTTGTTTTCCATGGTTACCTGCAGTCTGAAAAGAGGTAAGTATGGTACAGAAGATACTTTGAGTTAGACCAAGTTCACATAACTTTTATTACAACATATTATTATTATTGTTTTATTTTATTATTAGGTATTGTTAATCTCTTCCTGTGCCTAATTTATAAATTAAACTGTAATAGGTATGTATATATAAGAAAAAGTATATATGAGGTTTGGTACTTTTGGAGATTTCAGGCATCCCTTGGAAGTCTTAGAAAGTATCCCATGGGGTTTAGTGGGTGTGCAACTATAATAAAGTTTTGTCTGTTTTTTGAGTTTCACTCTGTCACCCAGGCTGGAGTGCTGTGGCGCGATCTCGGCTCACTGCAACCTCTACTTCCCCTGTTCTAGTTATTCTCCTACCTCAGCCTTCTGAATAGATGGGATTACAGTGGTGTGCCACTATGCCTGGCTGATTTTTGTGTTTTTAGTAGAGACAGGGTCTCACCATGGTGGCCAAGCTGGTCTCTAACTCATGACCTCAAATGATTTCCCTGCCAAACTACTGGGATTACAGGAGTGAGCCACTGCATCTAGTGAAAGTTACCTTTTTTTAAAAGAAAGAGTTTCTAGCTGAAACAGTTATAGAAAATCTCAGATGAGCTTTATAAGATTTGCTTTTTCAGGGCAGATAACAGATGGGGTCAGTATTTTGTCAGAAACTATTCAAATAAAATCTAGCTGTGATCTGATATATCCTGTTTGATTTTTTTCAGTGACTTGCAATTATCATAGATGCTTATTTGAATGTCTTTTTCTCCCTGTAAAGTCTTACCAGACAGCAGTGTATTTTATCCATCTTTATGCAAGATGTACTTTGCTACAGATGTAAATTGTGACTTAAAAAATTTTAAACGTGGGATAGTGGAGTAATAGTGTAGAGAATTTTTTTTTTAAGCACTTAGAGTTAAATTGTTATTAGGTTAAAATAGCCTATTATCACTGTAAGATGGTTTTTGTAAGTCTCATGGTAAACATGAAGGAAAAGTCTAAAGTAGATTCACAAAAGATAAAAAAGAGAAAATAACTTAATCATAACCATAAAGGAAAGAGGAAATAGAGAAGCAAAAGAGCTACAAAACAACTAGAAGCAATTAACAAAATGGTAGTAGTAAGTTCTTACATGTCAGTGATTACCATGGATATAAAGGGATTAAATTATCTAAAGACCTAGAGTGACTGAGTGGATTTTTTAAAAAAGATCCAACTATATGCTGCCTACAAAAGACTTGACTTGTAAGGACACACATAGACTGAAAGTGAAGGGATGGAAAAAGACATTCTATGCAAATAGAAACCTATAACAGATTGCATGTAGTGAGAAAAAAAATTCATCCTGCTTTAATTGAATTGAAAATGCTTTGTTGAGTGATTTGCAGTCAGAGGCAACATGTTTATATACCTGCAAGTGAAGAAGGGAACAGATAGACAAGACATGCTCACTAATGAGTCAGCCTGAATCCCATACCTCAGAAACGTAAGGCAGAGTGAGAACTTTGGCATTCGACTTTTTAAGTGTCCAGCCAAGAGGAAAAAGCTACACAATAAAGTCAAGGTCTGACTATTAAGCAAAAAGATTTAGAAGGACTAAGTAATTGACAAGTAGTAAGAAAAGAAAGAATTTAACCTTTTATTAGGAATATGACATGTCCTTGGACCAGTAGAGGAGATGAGGTCAACCAAGCATAAGGTCAAGGTAAGCTGGTAGAGGAAGAGTAATATTAGTGTTCAAAACCCAAGGGAATTGAGAGAACAAACATTAGATTTCCCAAGAAGGTATGAAATAGTGAGTTACGTCCTAACATTTTTCTAGGAAGGAATCAATAGGTTTAAAAGGAAAACCACATAATAGATGTAAGGACATATTTAAAATAGAGTCAATGTCACCAGGAAAAAAAAAATGTTTAAAATTTTGATTGTAGGGTTGGGTTAAAGAATGTTGTTTTTCCTTAGAAGCTGTGTTAAACTATTTGGTTTGTTACCAAATGCTTTTTTTTTTCTTTTGTCAAAAAAAAACAGGCATACTCTGCTTTAAGTTCTAATGAGTGTTACTATATTTCTATTAAAGTGAGTATGCACTTTTGAATAAAGGAAGATTTAACATGATAAGATTTTTGTTTCTTTGTGTAAAATGCTGTTTCTTATTCCTACAGCTTCTAAGACCAAGAGAGAAAAAGTTGGGACTAGGTAAGTAGTGGAACTTCTAATTGCTCATACCTGCTATTTGCCTGGTGAGATGATTCAGTGTGTGTTTTCCCAGTTTGGAATAGGGCCAAAATACAGTAACATCCTATGATAGTTTTTAATGATCTTAATGACTTTTAAATGGTATAACTGGGATACCTGTATAAGTCAAGGCCCACTCAGGAAAACAGAAACCACTTTAAGTCTTTTAGTGCAGGGAATATAATACAGAGTCTCTGGTTACACCAGTGAAGGAATTCCTGAGAAACCAAATGAAACAGTGAGGCTAAAACAAGATTAGTAACAGCTGGAGGTCGCTGCCACTCCTAGGAATGGAACAACAGTGAGAAAAGATGTTTTTAGAGCCCAAGAACCTGGGCTGCCCAGAGGGAGCTAGAATGATGGGTTGGGGGCCACCTGGCAGGAGCTAGAACTGTGGGAAATTCCCAGTCAGAGGTGGGAGGGAGAGTAAAATAGGGAGGACTTTGACTTAGACTTTTCCCTTCTCTTCTCCATCCTGTCTTCACCTGTACATCCCAAAGGTGTTTGGCAGCCAGTTGACAAGAGAAACTGGAAAATGTAGTTCACAATATAGCACAGAGTAGGGAAGGGCCAGAGAATGGGTCTGAGGGTAAACGTCTTGTACCAGCATGCTGCAAACCTAGGAACATTCTTTAGTTATAAGTTTAAAAAGTTATTCTTTATTTAAGGCCTGGTGCAGTGGCTTACACCTATAATCTCAGCACTTCTGGGAGGCTGAGGCTGGTGGAACACAAGGTCAAGAGATCCAGACCATCCTGGCCAACATGGTGAAACCCCGTCTCTACTAAAAATACAAAACTTAGCTGGGTGTGGTGGCACGCGCCTGTAGTCTCAGCTGTTCAGGAGGCTGAGGCAGGAGAATCGCTTGAACCCAAGAGGTGGAGGTTGCAGTGAGCTGGGATCATGCCATTACACTACTGGTGACAGAGTAAGACTCCGTCTCAAAAAAAAAAGTTATTTTTAATTTTTAAAGAAGGAAGATTGCCCAGCTTTTAAACATACAGCATTATTGAAAATGTCATATGAGCTCGGTAATTCTGAGATGAAACTCTGCCTTTAATTGTGCTCTTGGTCACAGTTGCTGTGTCGAAGAAGCATGGAGACAGCACAGTTCTTCTTTTTTTTTTTTTTTGGAGACGGAGTTTCGCTCTTGTTACCCAGTCTGGAGTGCAATGGCGCGATCTCGGCTCACCGCAACCTCTGCCTCCTGGGTTCAGGCAATTCTCCTGCCTCAGCCTGCTGAGTAGCTGGGATTACATGCACCCGCCACCATGCCCAGCTAATTTTTTGTATTTTTAGTAGAGACGAGGTTTCACCATGTTGACCAGGATGGTCTCGATCTCTTGACTTTGTGATCCACCCACCTCAGCCTCCCAAAGTGCTGGGATTACAGGCATGAGCCACCGCACCCGGCCCGACAGCACAGTTTTTAACTGGAGTCTATTATCCTGAAGACCATCAATTCCCAAGCATCGTCAGATGTTCTCAGTATCTGAACCCAGAAAATTCTTTGGGATTGAAAAAAAAAATCTGAAAACTGCCATGAAACCAAAAAGCGTACTGTACATATTCACTTCTTTTTTTCTTTTCTTTTTTTTTTTCTTTTTTCTTTGAGACAGTCTTGCTCTGATGCCCAGGCTGGAGTGCAGTGGCACAATCTCGGCTCACTGCAACCTCTGCCTCCTGGGTTCAAGTGATTCTTGTGAGTCGGCCTTCTGAGTAGCTGGAATTACAGGTGTGTACCGCCATGCCCAGCTAATTTTTTTTTTTTTTTTTTTTTAAAGACGGGGTTTCACCATGTTGGTCAGGCTGGTCTTGAACTCCCAACCTCAGCTGATCCGCCCGCCTTGGCCTCCAAAGTGCTTGGATTACAGGCGTGAGCCACTATGCCCAGGCTAATTTTTTGTATTTTTAGTAGAGATGAGGTTTCACCATGTTGGGCCAGGCTGGTCTTGAACTCCTGAGTTCAAGCGATTCCCCCGCCTCAGCCTCCCAAAGTGCTGGGATTACAGGCATGAGCTACCACACCCGGCCAATATTCAGTACTTAACAAAATAAGTTAGAATAGCTTAGCCTTGCTTATAAGACACTTGTAAGGAGTCTGAGCTAGAGAATGCAGGAATCCCCAAGTCCTGCTCCTGACCAGTTATCCTGCCCTGCCAAGTTCCTGTGGGACTTTGAGGTATGGAGCTGGCTGAGTAATTATCAGCTAGGCCTTTGGCCCTAAATACTGGAGCAGGGGTCTAGCATACCAGTGTAAAAGACACTCGGTGTGTAGCTTTTGTGGAAATGGACTTAGTGCTGGAAAGAGCAGAAGCAGGAAGCCTTGTTAGGTAGCCATGTGAGCATCAGAAGTAGTACCTTCTAAGCATCAGAAGGTGGAGAAGAAAAAGGGAATTGAGATGTTTTGGATAGAGAATCAATAGGACTTAATTATAGTTGAGAAGTTATGGTTAAAGGCAGGAAATGAAGAATCATCTCTAGACCTGTGGATGGAGCAGTTGGATAGTTGGTGCTGACTTGTAAATGTGGAGCTCTAAGAAGAGGTCTAACCTCTTCAGTGTCTTAATGGGACTCTAAGGAAACTCCAGATGGGTTTTTTAAAGCTTGAGAATGTGTAATTGTTAGTTAACCTCAGACTTTTGAACTTATAAACTCTTTTCTTTGCTAAACTGAAATAGTGGTATGATCTCTCCTGTTAAATTGACATCTGAATGGAGGTGTGTGGCCAGCTACTGTCTTGATTATATATGTAATATACATGAACCTATGTACTTATGGTGAAAAAGACCAATTTATTAATACCACTTTTAGAGAACTAACATGTGCTTTTCAGCTGCTAAACAATTTCCTCCATGTTCAAATGTATATGTAAGGATTTCTGTTGGGTTTTCTTGAATAGATATACTTTCATTTTTAGGAACTGCATATATTCATGGAATGAAACACGCCACAGGAAACTACATAATTATTATGGATGCTGATCTCTCACACCATGTAAGTGGTAAATTTCTTTATTAGCTATTTATGATAGTGTTAGCCTATTTTACTGACTTGCTGTTTATTCTTTCCAAATTTCAGCCAAAATTTATTCCTGAATTCATTAGGTAGGTACTATTTCTAATATTTGAAAGAAATATGACTGAAATAATTTATCTTACTGGTTTTGGGCATATTTTTCATTTTGTATTAATCAAAAATACTCATGCTGTTTTTTTCTATCAAAAATACAACAAAAGCTTGGGAGGTCAAGGCAGGAGGGTTTCTTGAAGTCAGCAGTTTGAGACCAACCTGGGCAACAAAAGAAGGCCTTGTTGCTACAGAAAAACTGAAACGCATCTGTAGTCCTGGCTACTCAGGAGTCTCAGGTGGGAGAATCAGTTGAGCCCAGAACTTCAAGGCTGCAGTGAGCTATGGTCATGCCACTGCTCTAGTCTTGGTGACCCTGTGACAGTGAGACCCTGTCTCTAAAATATATATTTATCTATGTAGATAATAGACACACACACAACACACATTTGAGAGACTAAATGATGTATTTTAGGGGTCCTGAGGAGCAAATCAACAGGTACTTTGTTATCTGAATTCCTCAGACTACAGAAAAAGATGGAAGATGGCTTCTCTGATAAATGGAATGAAGCCTGGAGTTACTAGAGTAAAACACCATGAACAAATAGAGTTTATTCTAGGAGGGCCAAAATGGCTCATTATTGGTAATCACGCAGTATAATTCATTTATCATGTTCACAAAGAAAGTAGTGTGATTAAGCCTGTAGATGCTAGAGGAGATATTTACTACCATTTTCTAGTTAAAACTTAAGAATAGAAGGAAACATCTTAAGCATTATAAAAATAACCCAGTCCTAATATAAATATCACACCAAATAGTGAAGTACTGAGTCATTTTTGATAAATTAAGATAGGCATGCTAACCATTGTTAAACATGGAAATGTTAATACACAGTAAGAAATGAATTCAGTTAAATATTGGTAAAGTATACATAATTATATTTACTTGCAGGCAATACTACATTTATTTACAAATATATTTATTTGCACAATTTATTGGCAGGCAATATAATTATATTCTTAGAAAGCTCAAAAGATCACGAAAGTTCTGTGATTTTGGAAGCTGTTCTGAGTTTAAGCTAGATATACAAAAACAGAATCAGATGATTGTCCCTCCCATTTAGAATAGTTCAGGAGTTTCCACCAACATCTAGGGAAAAGTCCAAGCTCTTTCCCTTGTCCCTCAAGCCCCTATGTGTTGGCCCCTGCCTCCCTTTCTGACCGCTGCCTTGGGCCCCTTCCTTTTTTGCTTTCCATTCCATAAGCATGCTTCTGAGCTCACAGAGTTCTATTTTCCTTTGCTTGAAATTCTGTTTCCATGCTCCTTGATGAGCATCTGCTGCTCATCCTTCAATCTCTGCATAAAGTCACCTTAGACCTTTTTTGCTTGTATCTCTAGTACACAAAAGCCTCTTTAACCTGATAAAGAAATGGAACCAGGAGAGTAGAAAATGGGCAAAAAGCCAGGCATGGGGGTGCGTGCCTGTAGTCCCAGCTACTCAGGAGGATAAGGCTGGAGGATCGCTTGAGTCTAGGAGTTCTGGACTGTAGTGTGCTATGCTGATCAGGTGCCCACACTAAGTTCAGCATCAGTATGGTGACCTCCCGGGAGCAGGGGACCGACCACCAAGTTGCCTAAGGAGGGGTGAACTGGCCCAGGTTGGAAACGGAACAGGTCAAAACTCCCATGCTGAGCATTAGTGGGATCTCATGCCTGTGAATAGCCACTGTACTCCAGCCTGGGCAACGTAGCAAGTCCCCATCTTAAAAAATAATAATAATTTAAAAAAAAAAAAGAAAAATGGGCAAAAAGCTACAAACAGACCAACTATAGGAGGAATCCAAATGGCTAATGAACAAAAGACGACGTTCTTCCTGGAATATAGTCAAGGAAATAAACGCAAATTAAAATAACTGTGCGTTGCCATTTTTTTATCCATTAATTTATCAAAATCAAAGACTTTTAGAGCAGTAATATCCAGTACTAATACGGTTATAAAAAGTGGACACACAAATATTGCTGAAAGAAGTATAAGTTGCTGTAACCTTTTTGGAAAATATGTGTTAGAATTAAATATGCATTAGAATTAAAATACTCAGGCTTCGTTTGGGCAATTCCAGTATATTCTATTTTGGGGAGTCTAAGCAGTGTCATATGCATTTGTAAGAATGTTTATTGTAGCACTGTTTGTTGTGATTAAGAGGGTGAGGCATCATGGAAAAAACCACAGAAGTGTGTGAGTTGAATAGTCATGGAGTATTTTTGCAACTATTAAAAAGAATGGGCAAGAGCTTTGTTGACCTGTAGAGGTGTCTGTGATTCCATGATTTGTATTTTTTTTGTTTGTTTTGAGATGGAATCTCGCTTTGTCACCCAGGCTGGAGTTCAGTGGTTCAATTTCACTCCAGTCTCCTGGGTTCAAGCAATTCTCCTGCCTCAGCCTTTAGAGTAGCTGGGATTACAGGCACTTGCCATCATACCTGGCTAATTTTCGTATTTTTAGCAAAGACAGGGTTTCACCATGTTGGTCAGGCTAGTCTCAAACTCCTGACCTCAAGTGATCCACCCACTTCAGCCTCCCAGAGTGCTGGGATTACAGGCGTGAGCCACCGCATCTGACCCCATGATTTGTATTGTTAACTGACAAAAACAAGTCACAAAATGTACTTTTTTGCATTCCAATTTTGTAAATGCAACCAAAAATCCTTGGGATATATGTGTGTGTTATCTTTCTATAGGCAAAGAAAAGTTTGGTAGGACATCAGGCTGTTTTTAGTATTATTTGCTTCAGCGACGGCAAGAACAGAATGGAAGGGTATTAGGAACATTAATTATTTTAATTTTAAAGACAAGGTCACCCAGGCTGGAGTACAGTGGCACAATCACAGATCATTGCAACTTCAAACTCCCTGGCTCAAGCAATCCTCCCATTGCAGCTTCCCAAATAGCTGAACCTAAAGGCATGTGTCACCATTCCTGACAGGTTTTTTTTTTTTTTTTTGAGATGGAGTCTCACTCTGTTGCCCAGGCTGGAGTGCATTGGTGGGATCTCGGCTCACTATAACCTCCACCTCCCAGGTTCCAGCAATTCTCTGCCTCAGCCTCCCGAGTAGCTAGGATTACAAGCGCCTGCTACCATGCCCAGCTAATTTTTGTGTTTTTAGTAGAGACGGGGTTTCACCTTTGGTAGAAATGGTTTCATTCAGCTGGTCGTGATCTACCCCCCTCGACCTCCCAAAGTGCTGGGATTACAGGCGTGAGCCACCATGCCCAACTTGTGCCAGCTTCTCTTAAAAGTTTTGTTTGTGTAGCTCATGAAAATGGCTGTTGAAAGCTCAATGACTTTTTCTAATAGACAGCTAATTTATTCTACAGGAAGCAAAAGGAGGGTAATTTTGATATTGTCTCTGGAACTCGCTACAAAGGAAATGGAGGTGTATATGGCTGGGATTTGAAAAGAAAAATAATCAGGTAGGTACATGTGTTATGACTTCTTTGTTAGTATAACTAATGGAAATATGTTCATAGCAAGTATCAACTACTATGCTACCTGGGATTTGTGGGATCAAGTTACAATTTCCAGTAGATATTCCCAGATAGTTTCTTACAGTTTTTCTTGTGATTAAAGCCTGGATGTTTTTTATTAACTAAAAATCTGCATAAACCTTTGGACCTTTGGTAGAAGTGGTTTCATTCAGCAAAAGTTACTATGCTGGACCTTCAATTTTAATTTATGTAACTGGTTCCATACTTTTAGACTCAATATGTAGGGTGTCACTGCCATATAGTGTTATTTTAATAAAAATTGATTTCAGACAGACCTGGGTTAAAATTCTGTTTGTGTCATTTGTTTTACCATGCATGTTTTACCTTTTTTAAAATTTAAGACAGAGTCTCGTTTCGTTGCTCAGACTGGAGTGCACAGTCTCAGCTCACTGCAACCTCTGCCTCCTGGGCTCAAGTGATTCTCCTGTCTCAGCCTCTCGAGTAGCCACCATGCCTGGCTAATTTTTGTATTTTTGTAGAGATGGGGTTTCACCACATTGCCCAGGTTGCTCTCAAACTCCTGAGCTCAGGTGAGCCACCCGCCTCAGCTTCCCAGGTAGCTGGAACTACAGGCACACACCACCATGCCTAGCTTTTATATATATATATTGTAGTGATGGAGTTTTGCCATGTTGCCCAGGCTGGTCACTCCTGGGCTCAAACGATCCACCCATCTCAGCCTCCCAAAGTGCTGGGATTGCAGGTATGAACCACTGCTTCTAGCCAGATCTCCTTTCATTGACTAAAAATTTCTCTTTTGGTCTAGATAAATAACATTTTTGTGAAATTAACGTTACATTTATGAAATTAGCATAGCATATTAACACTCTGTTCTTTGATGTGTTTCTCTTGTTTGTAAATTATATTTTGTAAAGAAAATCTGATTGTTTTGTTTGGCAGCCGTGGGGCCAATTTTTTAACTCAGATTTTGCTGAGACCAGGAGCATCTGATTTAACAGGAAGTTTCAGGTACAGTGAAAATATATATCTTCTTGGCTAGCTAGCTTTCTTTACAATGGATATTTTTAAGAGATGCCTTACATTTCCACCTTGTTTTTATTCTGGGATACTAAAAAGGCAGTCTAAATTCCTAGAAGTTGCTAATGAAGCCTAAACATCTTAAGGAGACATATTGTGCTTTTCTTTTAAAAAGTTGAGGCCAGGTGGTCACGCCTGTAATCCCAGCACTTTGGGAGGCCAAGGTGGGCGGATCACCTGGGGATGGGAGTTTGAGACTAGCCTGGCCAACATAGAGAAACCCCATCTCTACTAAAAACACAAAAATTAGCCAGGCGTGGTGGTGCATGCCTGTAATCCCAGCTACTTGGGAGGCTGAGGTAGGAGAATTGCTTGAACTCAGGAGGCAGAGGTTGCGGTGAGCTGAGATCATGCCATTGCACTCCAGCCTGGGCAACACAAGCGAAACTTCATCTCAAAAAAAAAAAAAAAGTTTAAGGCAGGGGTTAGGTTTGTGTGCTTGTTAATATTAGTATTAAGCAGCCATGGGGCCAATTTTTTGAAAGGTTGCTATTACTGATAAATCTTTTCCAAAGAACAGCACATATTTCAGTAATTTTCTCCATTTCATATGAATACTTAAAGCATGGTCCACAGAAAAGGTTAAACTCTTTAATATTTATGTAGAGTTCTCTGTTACGTTGTTCCTCATATGTTTAAGAAATGTTTTTTGTTGTTTAATTTTGTCAAAGCTTTGGTCCCTCAGAGTTTTGTGTGTCTGTCTGTTTCTGGGTGTATGGGGTGGTGGTCTAGATTTGCTGTAGTAGATGTGAGCTGCTTTGTGTGACTGACCATGGCAAATGACAAAACTTGCCAGACTTTTTTTTTTTTTTTTTGACCCGAACTATAAAATGCCCCTGCATCTACTTCAGTGGCCTCAAGCCCCCCATAGATTACTTAATAATTTATATTAGTTGATACTTATTTTTTCCACCAAATAGTGTTGATTCTTGGGTCCTTGACTCAATGCAGGAAAATCTACGTTTTTAAATGTGATAATACACACACACACACACACACACACACACACACACACACACACGGAGCTGGCTGTTCACAGTCAAATAAAAAGAAAAATGAAGCCTCTAGAACTAAGAAGCAAATAGACTGGAGAGCTGAACTTGGGGATGAAAGAGGGGAGGATATACCCTAAGGCAAGAGTCATTTGTGATCTGATTAAGATCTCAGGTTGCGTATGGGTGGTGGCTGGTGGATGGGCAGTGGCTTGCATCTATAATCCCAGCACTTTGGAAGGAGGAGGCATGTGGTTCAGTTGAGGTCAGGAGTTTAAGACCAGCCTGGCCAACATGGCGAAACCCCATCTCTACTAAAAATAAAAAACAGCTCGGTGTGGTGGCATGTGCTTGTAGTCCCAGCTACTTCAGAGGCTAAGGCAGGAGAATCGCTTGAGATCTGGAGGCAGAGGCTGCAGTGAGCCAAGACTGTGCCACTGCACTCCAGCCTGGTGACAGAGCAAGACTCTGTCCAAAAAAAAAAAAATCTCTGATTGCCACGTGGCAACAATGCAAAGATTAGTGGCACTCTAATCTCTGTACAGAGGGAAGGGCCATTGTGGATTTCACAGGCCACAGTTTTGATGAGTTTGAATAAAAACCCATGGTAACTGGTTGTGAAGATAGAGGCTGTAAAGAAAAGCACAGCAGGAAGAGGAATGGGGTGAGGGTGCTTTGCTGCATCAGAATTGTACAAAGATTAATGGAGGGGATGGGGTTCTGGATTTTCATGTATTTGAGAGCAGTGATTAGCTGTGTTCTGTACAAGTGACAGAGCAGCCAAACAGACAAAAGTGAGCCTGTTAATTGTATAATTTTTTAAATAGTTAAATTTCATTGTCATCTCATAAGAGCGGTAGTTTCTTAAATACATCATTAAAGTTCAGTTGTCATTAGACAAAACTCATTTTTTCATTAAATCCCTAGATTTAGGAAGCAGGTGCTTTTTACAAAATAAGAAAAGGAATCTTAGAAAGTCTACAGTCTAATATAAAGCCATTTAACAGCATAGATCACCTGGATCCTAATCCTATTCATAGGATTATATGGCTTCATGTAACATTTTACTTTTTTTGAGACAGAGCCTCCCTCTGTTGGCCCGGCTGGAGTGCAGTGGCACGATCTCAGCTCACTCCAACCTCTGTCTCCCAGGCAGATTCTCCTGCCTCAGCCTCCTGAGTAGCTGGGATTACAGGTACACGCCACCATGACCTGCTAATTTTTGTATTTTTAGTAGAGACGGCGTTTCACCGTGTTGGTCAGGTGGGTCTCGAACTCTTGACCTCAGGTGATCTGCCCACCTTGGCCTCCCAAAGTGCTGTGATTACAGCCAGGAGCCACTGTGCCTAGCATAACATTTTACTTTACTAGCTACAATGTTAAAAGATATCATGGGGATGGGGAGGAGGGAGGTGGCAGTGAAAAGAAATATCTTAAAAAATGATTCCTAGGAGAATAAAGCAACTCTTAAAGTCAGGAAATATTTTATAGTCTGATCCCAATTTTCAAAGTAATGCTGGCTGGATATGATGGCTCACACCTGTAATCCCAGCACTTTGGGAGGCCAGGGATGGAGGGTTGCTTGAGCCCAGGAGTTCAAGACCCCAGCTCTGGCAACATAGTGAGACTCTGTCTCTACAAAAACTAAAAAAATAAATTAGCCGGGCATGGTGGCAGGTGGCTGTAGACCCAGCTACTTGGGAGGCTATAGTAGGAGGATCTTTTGAGCCTCTAAAACTGAGGCTGTAGTGAGCCATGATTGTGCCACTATGCTCTAGGCAACAGAGTGAGATCCTCTCTCTCAAAATAAAAATATATAAATAAAGGTAATGCAAAAACATTGTCCCATCATAGTTCTTCCCACCCCACAAACCCAGTGCTCCCTCCCCTACCTAACAGCATCTGACATATTATATCTTTATTTAGTTTTTAGTTCATTCTATAAGGCAAAACACGAAAAAGTATCTGAAACCTGTTATGTTGGTAAATAAATGTTTGTTATTGAATAAATACCATCAGATTCTCCTCTCTTCATATTTATTCCAAATTTATTCCTTTGAATCCTTAAGGAGACTGTGTGGATAAAGGAGTGCACACACTAAGCTCTGTTGGGTTCTTCTAAGGGCTGTGCTGTCCTATACTCACTTCATAGTCAAAAGATACTGTCGCCTTAGAAGTCTGAGGGAAAAAATGTGGATTCAAGGTGAAACTCTGAGGCACAGTAGGTCCAGATGGCCTTAACTTTGAAAAGAACAAAGTTTCACCAAACTACCTCTCCTAGTTTTCTCCCCTCTCCCCACAAAAAAAGGTAGAAATTGCTGCCTCCCTACTGAGACACTAATCTTTAAAAAAAAAAAAGTTACAGTGTCTGTGACTCTGAAAATAGGGAGCTCCTTGCTATTTGGTTACTGAAAAAAGTGCTTGGGTTTACCCACTGGACAGCCCAACTCCACTGTCTCACCTTGTAAATCTGGTATTTGGCCTGCAGTCCATCTAAAGTTAGGCTGCACATTCACTTGCTGTTAAGTGTCTAACTGACCTCGATTGGTGATAGGTGAATCCCACCAGCATTTTTTCTATCCTGTGATGTCTAGTTCCTGTTTTAACCTAGCTTCCCAAGCTCATCCTAGAGGGACTTAGTTTATCCTAGGGAATTTATAAAGGAAATCATGAGAAATCAAAACTTACCATAAACATTTATTGGGAAATGACTGTTAATTTTGAGGTTCTTTTTTTGTCATCTCTTATATATTGTTGCTTCATCATCATTTGTCCACTCTGTACAACAGTTTCAATGTTTGGAACAGTTTCTTCAACTTTAAAATTTAAGGAAATCTTAAATAATGTATGCTTCTGCATCAAATGATTCATTTTACTCTATTTCAATAATTTCTGATAGTATGACGGGAAAATAATTCTCTAAAAGATACTGAGAATTCATTTTCAAAATTATTCTAAGTTATTTAGCAAATATTTAATGGCCTTTCTTGCTTAGGACAAATGTATCATAATCATCAACTTTGTGAGCTTTTCTGTTTACCAATGGCCAGTGGAAGTTTTAGGCTTTATACATACCAGTGAACTCTTTGAAAGGTCAAGATACATGTTAGGCAAGTGTATTTATCCAGAAGTTGAGATATATATATTTATATATATATATATATATTTATTTATTTATTCTGATTTCTTACAGATTATACCGCAAAGAAGTTCTAGAGAAATTAATAGAAAAATGTGTTTCTAAAGGCTATGTCTTCCAGATGGAGATGATTGTTCGGGCAAGACAGTTGAATTACACTATTGGCGAGGTATGCAGCTGATGCTAAATAGTATGTCATGTTCCTGGTAAAGGAGGGGTAAAGTTTCACTTTCATAACTGCTAAATTGTGGAGGTCTTCTGGTTGTTTAGAATGTTCATGCACAAATGGTAAAAATTCACATTAGTACATTTGAACAATAAGATTTAAAACATTAACAGTTAGCATTCTCTTTTAAATAATGGAAAGTTCCTGGTACTTTCTCAATCCTAGCCTTCCTTCTAACCGGTCAGCATTATGGACTGAGTCTCTGCTTTTCCTTTTGCCACAGCCAGTGTCCACCATACTTTAAAATGAATGATGAATCCCATATGTCCATTTCCTGTAAGTGAAGACCAGGAATTACAGAGCCAAGGGAGTGGTGATCTGTAATACTTAGGGCTAGCGAGTGAGCTCTTAGGGTAGGGAAGACTCCTCATTTACTAGTAAAACTCTTATTCATAGCAAGAAAATAACTAACCTGAAATGTCACTTCTCCCGTGGAAGTTGCAAGATGTTTTACTTAATGCTAAGCTGTTATAGCTAAATTTGACAAACAACTGAAAAATCTAAGCAAAAGGCCGCTTTACTTTTGGGGTATAATTTTTCTTTGAAATGCAAACTGAAACTTGAGTAAACCAAGGTGATACCTAGGATCAGTGCATTTTAAACAGTTGTAGATTGGTTCATGTGACCTATCTTTAGATGATGCATTTAATTTTAAAGACTTGGAGATACACATAGTTGTTTTTTTTTTTTTTTTTAAAGATGGGGTTTCACCATGTTGGCCAGGCTGGTCTTGAACTCCTGACCTCAGGTGATCCACCCGTCTTACTCTCCCAAAGTGCTAGGATTACAGGCGTGAGCCACCGCACCCGGCTACACATAGTTGCTTTAAGAATCCTAAAGTACTTACTTTAAGGACTTCTTTTTAGGACTTTTTTTTAGTCCTGTTTCTGTTGTGTTGGTAATATGGTATACCTGCTAAGCTACCTAATTATTTTTGAAGACTGACTTTAATGTTTTTTGTTTTTTGTTTTTAACTAGGTTCCAATATCATTTGTGGATCGTGTTTATGGTGAATCCAAGTTGGGAGGAAATGAAATAGTATCTTTCTTGAGAGGATTATTGACTCTTTTTGCTACTACATAAAAGAAATATAATCATTTATACTTATGTTCATTTCACTTTAAACATGAAAGAAGCCTGGTTACTGATTTTGATAAAATGTACTCTTAAAGTATAAACCATAAGGTAAGGTAAACTTCACACATCTTTTTTATGAAGAACTTCTATATTTCAGATTAAGTAATTTTAAAGTTGTTGGCCTAATGAGTTTTAATGGTCTCAATTTTCATTTACATTTTGCTGTATTAAGACCTATAAATAAATGTATATGGTTTTTTTGCATAAAGTATTGCTGCTTTGATTAGAGTAAGTGAATGTAGAATTTTTTACATGGAGAATAATTTGAAATATTCTTTATAAATACTGGAATCATGAATCTTTATACCCAATAGATGTCAGAAGTAAGATAATGTTAACTGATGAAATGTTTATAGCTATATCATGGCTGTATCTGTATGATCTGTAAAAGAAATACACACCTCTGCCCTTTCCTTAAAAATGCATCTCAAATTTCTTAAACTAGAAAATCCATTTAGAGCAGGCTTTTAGAATTGGGTTCTTTTCAGCTGTGGAATTGATGAAGCATTTCATCTACCAAAGCAAGTCTATTTAAAATGCATATTGTGAATTGGGAAGCAATTTGGCAGCAGTAGATTACATAGTCGTATCTTTCTCTTTTGAGCAATAACCTCTATCAGTAAGGAAAAGTATTAATGATACTGAGGCAGAAACATAGCTGCTACAGTAATTTTTAAACATCTTACTGAATTATGTAACAATTTGTTTCTCTCTCTTTTTTTCTTTTTTTTTTTTTAAGATGGAGTCCTGCTCTGTCTCCCAGGCTGGAGTGCAGTGGTGCGATCTTGGCTCACTGCAGCCTCTGCCTGTGGGTTCAAGTGCCTCAGCCTCCCAAGTAGCTAGGATCACAGGCATACGCCACCACGCCTGGCTAACTTTTTTCTTTTTTTATGTAGAGATGGGGTTTCACCGTGTTGGCCAGGATCACCTTGATATCCTGACCTTGTCATCCACCCACCTTGGACTCCCAAAGTGCTGGGATTAGAGATGTGAGCCACCAAGCCCAGCGTAACAATTTTTTTCTCAAAAGAATTGTTTTCATATTATTTGAAGACCCTCAGCAAAGCTCACATCTCTACTAATATGAAAAATCTCTTCCTTAAGCACTTCTGCCAGTTAAAATACAGGCTAAGCTATCCAATAAAGCCAGGGCTAATAATACGTTTATCTACTCTCTCTAAAGTATTTCAGAAGAGATCAGTTAATTTCTAACTGTAGCATAGGTTATGGATCATGTAGTATCTTTTAAAATTTGAGTAAGGGCATGCTTTGAGAAAATTAGTTTAAGTTGACTTTCTTTTGCAAATAAAAGGGGTGTCTCTAAATTATTTATTGAACAATATTCCTGATTACTACATTTTCCTGGCTTAATTTGGCTGCTGAAGAAATTTATTGAGGCCAGGCACAGTGGCTCATGTCTATAATCCCAGCACTTTGGGAGTCCAGGGCAAGAGGACAGCTTGAGCCACAGGTGTTGGAGACCAGCCTGGAGAACACAGGGAGATCCTGTCTTTACAAAAAATAAAAAAATTAGCTGGGTGTGGTGGTACTCACCTGTGGTCCCAGCTACTTGGGAGGCTGAGGTGGGAGATTCACTTGAGTCTGAAAGGTCAAGGCTGCAGTGACCTGTGATCATTCCTGGACAACAGAGTGAGACCCTGTCTTTTTTAAAAGGAAAGAAATTGAAAGTCTAATTTTTATTTGCATTTCTCTCTGACAGATTCTACCAGAAATGAATCCCAGACTATAAAACCTGTGGTGTCATTTCAAATATGAAAACCTCCCATACTTCTGTAGTTGAACCCATAATACACATTTCAATAAGGATCACTACTGTTTCCCTTTTGTCCAGAACGGACCAGCTGTCCAATAAGGGACCTGCCTTCCTTGGGGAGGAGATTTCTCATTAATAACAACAAGAAAATTTATTAGTGCTTGATGTGCAATTAGTTTTAAGCTAAGATAATAGAAATGTAATATTCTGTTTTTTTGGAGTGATTAGAATTTATTCTTAACCTAAACTCAAAGTTAAGTTCTCAGTGTCAAGTATGTGGAGCAGAAATTAAGTAACCACCTTAGAGAACCTGATACACAGTACTGCCTTCTCAGATCTCACTAGAGTAGATAATGTTTGCTCTTTCAATCTTTTCATTTGTTATTCCCACAATCATTACAACACTGTCACTCTTAGAATTTACAGTAGAGACAGTATTTGAGCATTGAAGACTCACAGCATTTGGAAGTCATTTAGAAAAGAATCTGGACTATTTAGATGCATTTTTGTAGTAAATCTGGTGCTCAAACACTGTAAAATTAAACATTTACATCTGAATCCAGCATCCTATTTTGCTTTGTAAATGAGGCCAAAGATGAAATCCAGATGTTTTCCCTTTGTATTTGCATTATCACTATATGGAATCTAAGTATATCTAAGGAAAACTAAACTTAAACTTACTTTGCTTATTTCATATTAGTTTTTGTCTGTTTTCTGCAGTATGTAATTAGATTATCTTTGGTTCTTTGAATCAAATGCTTTGCCCCAACCCCTTTTTCCACAACATTTTTCAGCTGTTTTCCCTTGAAATACTGACTTGGTTTTTAAAGATATTTTATCACAATTTCAGAAATGTGTTGTATGAAAGTTTTTTAAACAGGGCTAACTGAAGTCTTAGACGTTGAGCAGCTATGTGTAATCACAGTTGATGTTACTTGCAACGAAGTCAGATTATTTTCGGATGTTAAGTATGGCTTAAAAGTATGTTGACTTGAATTTACAAATCACATATTAAGGAAACAGGCTTGGTTAATTCTTCACTACTGACATCTATTATTTGCCAGTACATTTAACCAATGATACTTTAAATCATGATACTTTAACCAACCTACTTTAAAAGGTTGGTTCAAAAATGTTGAGGAAAATAATGCATTGGTTGGGTTTGACCTAACTTTTCAACGTAACCATGTGCTGTCTTACACTACCCAGATTGTGGGAGCACCAAAAGTTATGTCCCTAGGACTACAAGGTGTGTTGTTTAAGGATCTTGCAGAGAGCCAATGCCCCCATTGGCAACATCACTTCTCATCCTGAAATTTCACCCGTTGGGAGTCCTCAAGGCACCAGGATTCCCATTTTTTTTTTAAATTCAGGTCAAAGAGAAGAGTCCATCACTGTTACTGGGAAGAATGTCAAGTCACAGAGTAATGGCGAACCTTAATAAAATCTCGACCCCTCTGCACCGAATACCCCCCAGGAAGGGGCAGGCATCCTTGGGGTTGTGTCTCATCCCAAGTCACTGTGTGAAGCACGAGGCCCTCACACCTCATTTAAGGCAGGAGACATCAGACGCGACCGGCCAGGTGTTCCGGCGCCTTTCCACCGCTTCTCAGGCGTGGAGGAAGCGCGGGCCTCTGAGCACGTGGAGCCGCCCCGGGCCGCCCTGCACACCCCTCCCGCCAGATGTAGTCCAGGCCCAGCTGGGCCCGCGCAGGGATCCCCAGCACGGCCACCTGACTGAGTGCTGGGCGTGCTGCGGCCCGCTGCTTCTGCCTCCGCCGCCGGCGCTGCGGCCAGAGGAAGGCGCCCGCTGAGCACCCGGGCCCTGGGAGCGCACTGCGGCCATTATCCACGGCGCCTCCTAGTGGGTCAATGGTAAATCCTCCTGGTTCTCGCGAGAGTTCCCCCACCTCAGTGGGGATTATATAATTTCCCTCAGGCGGGGGTGGGGGTTCTGAGAGCACCCTCCCTCAGGAAAAGTTAGGTGCAAGCACAGGTGGGAGTAAGAGGGGCCTCCCTGGGGGAAAGGGGGTTAGGGGTACTGTCCCCACTGCCCCCCCTACTTAGCTGGACAATGAGTCCTCTTATGCTAATGAGGCACTTACGTCACTTCCTCTCTTTCTCGGCCGCCATTTTGGCTGGGGCAGGTTCGGGGACTCGGTCCGAGGCGCTTGTATTGTCTGCTGAGGGGAGACGCGGGATCAGCCCCCCTCCCCCGCCTGTTGCCGCCGCCGCCTCCGCTGGCCCGGTCTCCCCTCCGCCGCCCGCCGGGATCCATGAGCTGAACTCCCGCCCCCCCCGGCCGCCGCCATCTTGTGCCCCCTCCCACTCCCGCAGGCAGCGCTAAGGGGGATTTTGGCGTCTTCTCAGACACAGCTCCCTCTCTCGGTCCCCGCTGCTGAGGAGCGAGAGGAGCGCGGCCGCCGCCGCCCGCGCCGGTGAAGCCGCCTCTCCCACACCCTCCGTCTCCTCCCTCCGCCCCTCCTTTGTCTGCACCGCTCGACGACGCCGCCGCCGCCCGCCGCTCTGCTGCGCCCGCCGCGCCCCCCGGCAGCACCCGCGGCCGCGGCGCGAGCCGGAGCCCGCCGAGCCGGAGCGCGACGAGGCCCCGGGCGCGCCCTCCCCGCTGCCGCCACCGCCGTGCCGCCGCCATCCGCCCGCCGCCGCCGCCGTCCGGCCCCCGAGCACGCCGGCCCCACGCGCGCCTTGAGGCCGAGTCAAGGTAAGCCTGGCGCCGCCGCGCGCGGACCCGCGGCCCAGCCCTGCCTCCCGACCCCGGCCCGCGCGGCCGTCTGCCCAGCCCGGCCCCGGGCGCGGGCGCATTGTTGTTCGCATCGCCGCCCTCCAGCCGCACACACGCTTCTTTGCACACCCCGGCGCCGACGGGCCGCCAGTCCCGGCACGGACCGCTACCCGGCTCTGCTCTGGAGGGCCAGGCGCCTCCTCCTGCAGCCCGACCCCCTTCTCCGCCCCGTGAGCCCACCGAGGCCAGCAGCCAGCCTGGCTGCCGGGAGCTTTTGCAGCTAATGGCATCTCCCCCACCCCGCCTCCAGCCAGAACCTAGCTTCTCCCATCCCTAGAACTAATCCCGTCCGCCCCCCACCCCCAAAAGGAGCCCCCCCCACGCACACTCCCATGCCTGGAACGAGCCTTCTGCCGGGTCTACCCACCCTTAGCTGGGGGAGGGGGGACGGGGTTGAGGGGGCCGGGGAGCATGCATGGCACGGAGTGAAAGTCTTTACCTCCCCTGTGCAATCCTTCCTTCCCAACCTGCCAGCTTCCCTCCTATCATGACCACAGTCTACCAACCATCCCTTTTCCCAGTCTCAGCTGCCTGGTCAGCACCTCCTTCGAACATTCTGAGCCCTAACTTTGCAGTAAGATGGTAGAAAATGGAAATCCAGAAAGCTGCAAAAAGATTTTCTCGTAATGAATGGGGAGTAGTTTTGGGAGCACCTTCTATTCACCTCTTCTTTCCTCTGGGCTGCTTGCCTGCCTTCCCCTCCCCCCCAACCTTGATCCCTGTCTGCTGGAAAAGGCGCGATTGCTTCTCTTCCTCTTCTGCCCAAGGCAAGACTCTAGGTCTGATACCTTTTTAGCCACACACCCCCCCCCCCCCCACACACACACACACGCGAAGTCTTCTTAATGTTTTTGCATTCACCAGTTTCTCTGGACACTTCTTGCCATAACCCCATTTTACAGACAAAGGCTTAGGAGGGAAAAAGAACCAAACTGTTTGCTGTGTTTGCCATGTTAATGCTCTCCATCCCCACACACCCAGTTCCCATCCCTGATGCTTCTTGTGCCTGTGTCTTGAACCTTCAGAATGGAAAGGAAAATAAGAATCTCTTGGATAGCTTGATACAGTTTCTTTAGAAATCTGCATTGTTGCTTCTGGTTTATGGCCATGGAGAAAATACCAGCCCCCACCCAAAATGCACCGCAGCCAAGTCGGCTAAAGGCGATGAGTGTTGGAGTCAGTAGGGGGCGCATTCTCTGCACTGGGTAAGGCTGCAGAGGGGGGAAGGGCCCCCGAGCTAGAACAGGATGTGCTTCACAGCGCCTTCTACAGACCATGGGAAAATGGGCCCAGCAAGTCACACTCGCACTTAGTTGGTGAGCTGACAGCAACATGGCGAAGGATTAAGTGAGTCAAGAGCAGTGATTTTACTCCTTTTAAAGAGCCCACCCTGCATTTTAGAAGTTTGCTCCTTTTACTTTTTCATAACTGTTGGCCCTCAGACAGTCCACATTTGTTCTTGACGATTCACCTTGGCACATCCTTGGTTCGGATTCCCTTTCTCTAGAATAACATTTTGACTGTGTCACCATAGCTTTCCTAAGTCTGGTGGTAAAGGAGAAAGTTTGAAACCTGAAAGTAACAGGTTTGGGGGCATAGCTAATTAACTCCTTTCATCATAGCCCAGATCTTTCCAGTTCTTTGAGAGGTAAAAATCATTCTTGAGAGATGTTGGATTTTTGTGGGGTAGTAGTTTTTATAAGTGAGAAGATGGGTGTCATGATTTGCAAAGCCTTGTTGGTAAACATCAAGCCCATGTTGGGTTCTTCATTGTCAAACTCAAGTGTTGATTGTAAAAAATTTGTTTCCCTCCAAAATTGGACTTGTAATTGCCATTCATTATCTCAGCAGCCAACCACCTTTACCAAAATGTTGATAGCAGTCTTCTGTGAGCACCCACCTTCTTAGGGTGTGTTGATTTCTATAGATTTTACTCCTCTTGTTATTTCCATAGGTGTGAGATGCACAATGCGAAACCTAGGCCCCAGCTTTTACACCATGATGCGCAGGGTTGTACCTTTTGTACTGAACTGATAGGTGGCCTAGTGGTTATGCCCTGTACTACCATTTTGAGGATCTGGACTCCGTTTCCTGCCTTGCTCTTTGGACCACATTGTCAATTCACACCGGTGGGTATATTCATTTTGGAGGGTGGGAACTTCAGCAACAGGGAAGCCAGAGACTTCTTCCTCCTTGGTCACCACCAAAGCCAACACTTCCAAAATTTCAGCCTAGCCACATTCTTCAAGGAACCGGTTAGAGCTGTTGCAGTAGTGGGTTCTGAACACTTATTAACATAAGAAATGACTTACAGCTTCTTTAAGAGAAATTTTTGCAGATGCTGTTATTGTTGTAATCATTTGCATTCTACACCCTTGTGTATAAAGTATGTTAAGTATTCAGTTACTATTACTTTGATGACCCAATTTCCAAGCTTCTAAAAGCCTTAAATATCTGATGAAAACATGCTTTTGCATGAACTTGTTCTTGCTACTAACGATTGACAGTGGTTGTTTGTGGGTACCTTTAAGACTTTGTTACAAGTATCTTACGTAAATACACCAAGATAAGTTTATGGGGAACTGAATGGGTGTATTCTTTGATACCTAGTTAACCAGTTGGTGCTTAACAGGAGAATTTTTCATTGGAGAATTGCTACCAATTAACGTTTTGGTGAGTGAAAAGGAGGCCCTTTGGTACAGGTATTTGACTAGAGACTACATTGCTTTTACAATTTTTTAGTAATTGTAAAAAAATCAGATCTTTAAATGGGATTCTTTTAATTTTTAAATACTGTATAGTATGTGTAGACAGGTAGAGTTTTTATCTTTATTTGGTGTTTTATATACAGTTACTTAAGTTCTAGTAATGAGCATATAATTTGAAGACAACTTATTTGAGGGAATGTTGGAGATGAAGTTTGTGGAGGGGCTTTTGTTTTATTTAACAAATGTTAAATGATGTCCTAAGTGGTAACAGTCATTTACCCTTAAAGGAAAACTTGCTGTGAGCTCTTAGAAAGCACGTATTCTACAGTTTCAAAGGTTTCTTGGTTTTAACACTCAAAAAAAGTAAGGGGAGTTCAGGCGAGGTGGCTCATGCCTGTGAAACCAAAACTTTGGGAGGCTGAGGCAGGAGGATCACTTGAGGCCAGAAGTTCAAGACCAGCCTGGGCAACGTAACGAGACCCCATCTCTACCCCCCAAAAAAAGGTGAAATAATTGGGCTTGAAGACTGGGATTTATAGTAGGTAAACTGTATACTTATTAAAGTATAGTAAAAGACTCAACTAGAGTGTGGGAATGGGTAGTCTGTGCAACTGAACTTTAGGTAGAAATTCTTTCTTTATCTTGGCCTTTGTCAAAAAATTTCCTGAGACTACCTTACCAGGAGCTGCTATATACTGAAATTAACTTCTTTGATTTTGGTTCTTTTTTCTTTTGGGGGGGGAGCTCTTCCCTCCCCCCTGATTTTGGTTCTTATAGTCCCTGTATAGAAAACATAGGAGATTGGGCTGAAACTCTTAATGCCCCTGGCACTGCTAATCTTGGAAGTCATTGATTTTAGACATTCCCTCTGTTAATTTGCTTTGCTTTGCTTAAGTTTATCTTTTTCTCCTTATACCAGAGTGCAGGAAGAGTTTTAATACTATTTATATTAAAATAAGAACTTTGGGATATTGAACAGGTGGTTTTGGTACCACTTGCAAGTAACCGACAGGTAGGCTTTTATCAAGCCACAGTGGCTTATTATTTATATTTGATTATTAAAAACATAAGGTATACTATGTGTGAAGTTGTTGCTTTCCTTGTAACTACTTAAAAGTTTTTTTGTTTTGTTTTAATTTTAAAGGTGGGGTTTCACCATGTTGGTCAGGCTGGTCTTGAACTCCTAACCTCAGGTGATCCGCCAGCCCTGGCCTCCAAAGTGCTTGGATTACAGGTGTGAGCCACCACGCCTGGCCCTAAAAGTTTTGAAAGGATTAAAAACGTTAGTATTTTGAAAACTGAAATACTCAGCAGTATATTAGTTGAATGAGATGATGTTGGCTACAAGTTTTATTGTGAAATTTGCAACCTAAGGAAGATAGAGCTGTTTTGCTATACAGGAGAAAGTAGGGATTGATACTTCACAGGGTAGAAAAGAGAAAAGAAAAACTTCAGAATTTGTCATTTTTCTTTTGAGAATCTTGTATAAGTAACAAAACTGCAATAATTGTAATAGACCTCAGCCAGTTGATTTCATAATTGGGGCATGTGTTGTGTGTGCACACATACACATAGAATACAGTTGGGTTTTCTAGAGCTGGAAATGGTTATCGTATTATTAAATACAAATGAAAAGTTGAAGTATCAGAGGTGTAGTTTGGGGAAAATATATTTAGTTTGAGATGGCATTTGTTAGATGTATTGAGATGGACAATACATATAAGTGTAGTAAAAAACATACCAGAATTAAACTTTATATACTTTTTTCTAAGTAACGTATTTAAGTGTTAGTGAAATAAAGATTTTTAAAATGATATAAAAGGTAAATAATTGAAATTTTTATTTTATAAGGTTAGAAGCATTATTGTGGTTTACAGCAAAATACCCATGACTGTTGTGTAAATAAGCTACTTGTTCAACCTGGACTTCCAATGGAGTTTTACTTTAAAAGAGTGTCATAAAGTCTGTTGTGTCCTTTGTAAGGTAAAATACTTTCAGTGGGAGTTTAACCTTCATTCTCTTGCCTGAGACACATGTACATTAAGAGAAACATTGCTCCCTATGTGTAAATAATTTAATTGTAGTTAGATTCACAGAGCTTGACTTGTTACTAGCATTGCATAAACTTAAAGTTTTTCTTTTCCTAGTTTATTGTTTTGTTTGTTTTTGAGACAGTCTCGCTCTGTCTCCCAGGCTGGAGTGCAGTGGCACAATCTCAGCTCACTACAACCTCTGCTTTCTGGGTTCAGGTGATTCTCCTGCCTCAGCCTCCTGAGTAGCTGGAATTACTGACATGAGCCACCATACCTGGCCCCTCTCCTAGTTTTGTAAGAGTTTGTGATACTGACTGTGGAGCAAATGCCATGTTTTGCTGTTGTACATCAGTGTCAGTTAACATCTTTTATATTGTTAGTTTGGAAACTTGGTGTTTGAAACTGGTATAAACCAAAGCCCCATGCTAATTAATTGATATTTTGAATGTGAGAGCTGTTTCTTGTTTTTACATTGGCACTTTCCACCTTGATTTTGAGATACTTTATTAGATAAACCATCCATGCTTTGTCCATCATGGGTGGCCATTGTGACTTCTTGTTTTTTTTTTTTTTGTTTGTCTGTCTGATCCTGTTAATTAGAAAGTGAGGAGAGGATGATTATGTTCTTTCATTCTCTCTGTGTCTTAGTACTCCTTACACCTGTGTTACATTATGACCTACCTTTGCTATGTGCCAGTTTTGGGGTCAGCTTAAGTGAGAATTCATATTCTGCTTCGCTGGAATGAGAAGGCTCTCCTCACGTATTATGCTTCTCAAGTCAACTTGATTATGTAGAGTGTATGTGTGTAGGAAGTCACAGATAACATTTGAGCCAGCTATGGAAGGTGACAGTTTTGATTGCAGGGCACATGTGTTTATTCTAATCAATGAAAAATGCAAAATTCATATCAGTGTTTTAGTCCTGGGTCCTCTCATCTCTATGTATTAATTCAGTCCACTGCCTTCAGGGTTCCCTGAGATTCACTCACAAACTTTGGCATTTTGATCCTTAACCTTGATTCCAAGATAGCTGCTGGAGAAATCCTGGAACCCCTCAAGAATTTCAGCAGTGTACTAGAAATAAAGATAAAGAAAATAAGAGGAAAGCATGGACAATGTTGAATAGAGTTTACAAAGGGAAGGCTGCTCTGAATATATGCCCTAGCTTTAGATTTAAGTTAAAGATATAATTTAAAAGCATACACATAATCTAAAAGTCATGCATTATTTGACCAGCTGTTAGAATTAAAAATGAATCTACATATCCTGATACCCTCTTTAGTAAGGGTATATATTTGTAATTGAGTCACTTAGCTGTGGGTTGTATTTATGTGTCACTTCTTTTGTGACTGTGATAACTTGAATGAGGATGCACTGTAAAGTGTAAAGGCCCCCTCGCTGGCCTTTATGTATTATAATATTGATGGCTTGCCCATTTCATTTTCCAGGCGTTTTATAAATTATTGTTGATTCTCAGAACTGTCCTTGTTTCACAAGTAGGGAAATCAAGACATTATCACATACAATGATAAAGTGAGCCACCAAATATGTCTGGGCTGGTTCCTAGGCCTGTGCTCAGAACACAGGCCTTTG